GTGTGTGTGTGTGTGTGTGTGTGTGTGTGTGTTAGTACTGTGGCTTGAACTCAGGGCCTCAAGCTATTTGGCTTTTTCACTCAAGGAGTAATCTGCCATGGCTGAAGAGCAAAAGGCAAAAGATAACTTTTCTTGTTTTAACCCATCCTGTCCTAGGGCTTAAACTCTTTTCTTGAGCACTGTCCTTAGAGCTTTTATACTCAAAGCTAATCTTTTAACACTTGAGCCACAGCTCCACTTCTGGCTTTTTTGGTGGTTCATTGGAGATAAAAGTCTCTTGGACTTTCCTGCCCTGGCTGGCTTCAAGCCAGATCTCAGTCTCCTGAATAGCCATAATAACAAGTGTAAGCCATCCACTCCCCGGGAAAAAAGAGGATATTTTAACATCACTGTGTTCAAATACTCTTGCACATATATTCAAAGTGGAGGTGATTAGCTAAGTTGATTTTTACTAATTTTTTTTAATTTTAATTTTTTAATGTTAAATTATCATTAAGTAGTTATACAAAGACTTTAAGCTTAAATTTTGTAGAACTTGTGTAGTCCCTCAGCTCTGAATTATTTTACATATTACATGAGGATGTTAGCCCTCCTCTGGAACTGGAATAACACTCCTACACGATATCATATTTCAAGGGCATGAGAAGGGCTGATCTTTCTCTAAAGGTGTTTCATCTGAAGGAAGCGATGTGATGTTTACTTGAATCCGGAATTGATGAGAAAGCTAGTTAAAGATACACAAGACTTGCCAGGTGCTCAGTATGTAACAAGCTTCTAGATACTCTAACAGTAGATGAGAAGTCAGTCTCCAAGAGTGCCCTCAACAAGAGAGGCCCAAGAGTCCACTTCATGACATAGTCAGGAGGATTATGATTGTGTAACTAAATGTATGAATGTCTTGCCATAAATGTCCAATGTGTTTGTTTGTTCTTTCCTGCCTCTCAGGAGACTTCTTAGAAGATGATGCCAATGAACTCCCCTAAATAAAGTTAATGTTAGCTAGGCTTTCCTCACTCTTCTCTCCCTAGATTCTTTGACATATTTCAGGACCAATAACTTTCTTTTATAAGCCATGACATTATCAAGAATAACAATACTTAACATTCTCAATGAACAATGATAGCTGTATTGGAAATAGAGTAAATGTGAAGAATTCAGAATATGGAGCAGCAGGACAGTGGCTCATTACTGTAATTCTAGCTACTCAAGATGTTGAGATCTAAGGATTGTGGTTCTAAGCCAGCTGGGGCAGGAAAGTCCAAAGATTCTTATCTCCAATTAATCACAAAAAAAAAGCTGAAATGGAGGTATGACTCAAGTGGAGAAGTGTTTGCTTTGGAGCCCAGGCTCCAAAATCAAGCCCTGGTACCCACACACACACACACACACACACACACACACACACACACAAAGCAAAATAATAATTTAAAAATTTGAATTCAGAACAAGAATCAGGTTTTATCAATATTATTTCTTTAATATACAACATGGTGTCTGGCAAATAGTTAAACAATAAAAACATTTTCAGATGAAGCTTTAACATATTTTAATAGTTTAGTTTGTAATAACGCAATATTTAAAATATATGTGGATTTACAAAAGGTCTAGAAACAAATTCAAATTTAATGCACAACATTTGTTGTTGTTATCATTTACTGAATTCTTACTATAACCTGGGCATTATGCCATTTGTTCTTAGCATTTTGAAAACTTCCTCCAATAAGCCTATAGCCTAAGTCATTATTAGAGAATTTCAGAGTTAGTTAAATAACATAGCCAAAGCCATACAGCCAGGTATTACCAGAAGGAGGATTCAAAACCAAGATTATTTTTTTTCCAAAACAATGTTCTTATTCAGCATGCTTTAGGAAAATATCCTAAATCTGCATTTTCAAAAGAAGCATTATTCTTCCCAGAAGACGCTTAGTGAGCAAGCATATAAAAAATGAAAATGTGACTCTGCATTAAAGGCTGATGATGATGATGATGATGATGATGATGATGATGATATGTGTGTGTGTGTGTGTGTGTGTGTGTGTGTGTGTGTGTGTGGGTACTGGGCTTGAACTCAGGGTCTCATGTTCTCACTTGGCTTTTTACTCAAGAATGGAAGTCTACCATATGAGCCACAGAACCTCTTGTGTGAGACACTTGGGCCCAGCAACAATGGATATTGTCAGGTGAAAGCCATTTCCTGGATAATCTGTGATGAAATTCCTTTTGATTGTCATGTCAGTTAGTTTTCATATGCACACATTGGAAGATGTTAGCTAAAGAATAAATAATTCACATGGAGAGTTTCAGGTTAGCTCCAGCTTGGTATCAGAAATCTTGATTATTTGTGGGGTTTGTTTTTATTTTAAAATACTGGAGTCTTTAAAATTGGATACCACAGCATGCATAGTAGGATGCTGATAAGAATGAGGATTCAGAAGATGGCCCAGTGGATACTTAAATAGCAAAAATATATAGTACAAGCTTCATACCTCCTGCAGACTTCAGGTTTATATGATAATAAATAACAGCTATCACCAGAACAAAGGACATCCAATAGCTCAGTGAGAAACCCACCAATGCAGGTGGTCAAGCTTGCTCCATTGCTACGTAAAGGAAGGCTATATATTTGCTTCTGGGTAGTTAAATTACCAAGTAATTTATTATTGACATTTTCTGGTAGGCTGATACGTGCTTCCCAAAGGCTTTGGGTTCAAACTTTATGAGAAAAAGAGTTACGATTTTACTTCTCAGATCACACAAATGATAATATAAAATCTCTGAACAACTTTGGCAATAATGTGACCTTCAGTATGAAAGATAGAATCACCTTATTGTGTACTTAAGTTTGGATAAAGGACCAGAATCCTGGCCAGGATAAATGTTTACACATTTCTGAAGCTCTTTAAAATAATGTCCTTTTTGGCTGGGCTCTGAAGGCTCATGCATGTAATCCTAGCTCCTCAGGAGGCTGAGATCTGAACTCATAGTTTGAAGCTAGCCCATGAGGACACATCTCAGAGACTCTCATCTCCAGCTAGTCATTAAAAGAGTAGAAGTGGAACTATGGCTCTGCTGTTAGAGTTCAGCCTTGAAAATCTAAGGGATAGCACCCAGGCCTTGAGTTCAAAGCCCAGTGAATGAGAGAGAAAGAGTGAAGCCTGTGTACTGGAATGTTAGAAGGAAAATATTCTATTCACAATGGCTCCTAAGTAGTTACAAGTTCAACTTTCTTTTCATGTTTCCTCAACTTAACTTACTGTATATATACAGATATAAGCATATGTATATACAATGTATCATATACATATATATGCTTGAAACAATAGAGTTTGTGCAAATGATATCATTTCTAAACTGCACAATGTAGAAACTTCCAAAATTCAGCTTTTACCAATACACTAGATCAAAGATCTCCTAAAAACAACTTCTGAATCATTTGTATAATTATTTTCTTGTTTTCCATCCAAATCCAAGTACACTTTGCCTACAACTAAGAATTCTACTTTATCCTTTGTTTTCTGGGTAAAGAAAATTGCTTCATTGATTCTTTGCCAAGTAACCTTTAAACTGAGACATGAATGTAATTTCCTAATTAATTAGAAATATTAACTTCATCCATCTTTGCTCAGGACCAAATCCAAAGCTTCTATGCATAAGCCTGATGAAGAATATCATTACACAGTTGAAAGAACTCAAATTCTAATTGATATCACCTTGATAACAATTAAAATGTCATAAAGGACAATGAGCCCACAAAAGGAAGTGACTCAAGAGGCTGCACCCAGTTGCCAGAAAACAGCTGCAATCACTAGGAACCAAATATCCCACCTCTAGAATTCTGAGATTGAAAATTGGAAAATGTTATCAGACAATGTTAGCAATCATCCTGAAAATTCCATTACTTCTCCACAATCTCATCAACTCCATGAGAGGAATTCCCAGCCATTGTACCTCAGAACTTGACTCAAATGGAATGCATTGCTCAAAGGTTTCAAATCTGTCACCTATTATACCTCAACTTTGGAGAACCTGGAGGTAAACTAAATCCAGTACTTTTAATTAGAAAGAACTCTTTCAATATTGGGTTGCATGTAAATAAATCCCAAATGACTATGACTTTAATATAAATGCCTACAGAGCAGACAAATGGATATACACCCATAAGAAGTTGTGAAGAAATAGAGAAATGTCCCATGTAACCTTTACTGTTTCCTCAAAGGTTACATCACAACCAGTTTAGTAATTATAGTAGCACAACAAAACCAGGACGTCAACACCAGTGCACTGTGTCCACAAAGACTATGTTATTTTATCAACTGTGTAGATTCTTTGGAGCTCTGCTACAATCAAGATATAGATGTAGATTATTTTATGTGTTGTCTCTGGGAGAAAGCTTTGTTACAATTTCAGAATGTTCCAGACAACTTATTCCATATAATAATACCTGAATATTGAGAAGTTGTCTTATCACAGAAAACTCAAGGCATACAGGCTAATGTGAAATTCCAGTGATCTAGGCAGGATACCTTTCAGCAAACTCATTTCTTTGTTCAGATCAGACATCTACATCATCCATCAATCAGCTCACCCAAACAAGAGAATGAGAATGAGCACATTTATAGCACACATGTTCATCAAAGACAAATTGCTGGTAATTGTAATATTCTACCACTGTTTCTCAGTGAAAGTCCTTAGCTGGCATGCATACACACATATCTCCTTTCTCAGACAAAACAGAACACTTCACAAGCGTCTTTAATCACCAATGATGATACTCCAATGAAAGAGCACCTTAGTAAATACATACCAAGAAATAATAAAATAAGTCAGCCAAATTATTCCAAGCCAAGCCTACTGGAATTTATTTTCCTAACCAGTTTCTATAAACCAAGTTGTTGCAAATGCCATTATTTGAGTCAGTCCACAGCAAAAGAGAGACTTTTAATAACACACACACACACACACACACACACACACACACACACACATCTCTGCAGTCTTACCTTGGCCATTTGAGCCTGCACACCATTTGCTTTGAGGGAGGCTACAGCTTTCTGGGCAGCTGCAGGACTGTCAAAATCTACAAATCCATAACCTGCAAAAACACAAAACACTTCATTGGTCGTCACAGGATACATCTCTCTATCATATTGATGAAGGCAGGTTTATGCTCAGATTGCATTCATTTCTTATGAGTGGTACCCAGTTGAACACAAGGCTTTGAAATCAGTTGTTCTCAGTGCTTTGGAAGTCAGCATAGTATATCCAAACAGATAAGCAGTAACTTATTTCCTGGAGAGTGCTTTGGACACATAAAACAGCTACCTGCTTTAGACTACTTTGGTGAGAAAGGCAATATATTGTTTAAATCTCCTATTCTTGTTTTGATGGATATCCCAGAAGCCTGAAGAAACAAAATTCTGGAGATTTATTTTTTTAAGTTGATATGTAAATTTAAGAAAATCTCTAAAAACAGATACAAATTAAAGCATGAGAAGACCTTGAATTACAGTTATCACCATTAACTCCTGTAATGAAATTAACGCAAGAGGACTGCAGAAATGAACAGACTGTGGATGCCAGGATTTGAACTCAGCCCCACTTGATTACCACGCCCATTTCTCCTTTGTTTCTCCTGAAGATGACATCACAAATAGACTAGTTGAAGTCTTTAATGAGCTATGAGTAAGAGTGAGTAAATGGATAAATACTGAAGCTATTAAAAATAAGAAACAAAAACCCATTTTTTTCTTTGTTTATTTGACTCTTATTGGAGAGGGTAAAGGAGTTGCTTGTATTGCTCTGTCCCCATGCTCCTGGAAGTGTGTATGTATCATGAGTCCAAAGAAATAATAATATTGAGTCAATGAGATAGGAATTCTGTGTGTTCTTAAGCGAGCTGAGCTAGTCCAGGATATGCTAGCAGCAATAACAGATGCCAGAAATATTTAAAATACAAATGACAGAGAAGAGTCTGAAGACTCTTCTGAAGCTTACCCCATGAATCTCTTAGGTTTCTCTCTGCATTTTCACACAGATCTCAGATGAGCCATCAAGCAAACTACTAGCCTGTTCTAGGACCTACTTTCACCATAATAACAACAGAAGAGTGCAAAGGAGTTCAATTACTAAGTTGTTTCTTTTAATGTTTTCATTTTCTCCCCTCTCGTTCTATCGTCTTCCTCTTCTTCCCAGCGTGTTATCATAAAATGAACTTATTACACAGCAATGACCATAAATGCTCTGAAAACGCTGAGCAAAGAAGCTGTGAAGTTGGTTTCTAATCCAAAAGGAAGTACGTTCTGTGAGTACTGCTAATCCTCCCTTTTGACATACTTTCGACTAGATGGGTAACATATTATTATCATGCACTCAAACCAATAAGAGACAGGCACTTATGGCTCGTGGCTTTTATCCTATTTACACAGCTGAGATCTGAGGATTACAGTTCAAAGCTATCCCAGGCAGGAAAATGCATGAGACTCTTACCTTCAATTAGCCACCAAAAAGCTCAAGGTTGAAGACAGAGTATGAGCTGTGAGTATAAGGCTAAAGGACCATGGCTAGGCCCTAAGTTCAAGCCTTCATAACAACACAAACAATAGCAACAAAGAAAGGCAGTAAGGCAGGAAGCATACAACAAAAAAGTAGGACAATCAGGAAGAAGAGTTTTTGGAAGAAAGGAGAAAGTAAGACTGAGACATTGTCTCTCTGTGGCAGGTGTTGTGCTGAGTGGCTGACATATTGAGAAGTAGTGACACAAAGAAGCCATGTAGCAATGGCTTCCTGAATAATGCTTATGCAGAAACAGGGGGGCTGAACCACTTAATTGACAGATCAAGGCCCTGTCAGGTACACCATACTATGAGCTATTAGAGAGTTCTATTTGGTGGGCTATTTCTGACAGCCTGTGAAATCCACCAGGCAGATGACTGAATCCTTGAAAATTCCTCAGAATTTGAAGCTAGGACTCAAGGACAAAATGGGAAACAACTGCATGAAAGGATTCGGTCCAGCTCCTTCCTCTGTGTATTTGTTCATGGAGTGGCTGAGCCTGGAGCAGAGATCTGGAAATGAGATGTGAGGAACACCTTTTCACCTCATGTTTTGGGCCATGTCTGTCTTTCACACAAAGGCTCACTTTTTTATTCAGCACCCCAGGTCTTTGCATGCCAAGCACAATGCCAAACAAAATGTATGAAGTGTTGGAAAATACAGCCCCAGTTTCCACCTTTATACAACTTACAATTGAGTTGGAGATGACTGCCTCGTGGCAGATAGGCAGATCATTTACTCCATGATTGCAAAATGGAAGATCCCACTTGAGAGAAAACCAGAGCATATCAGATAGAATCTAACTGTTGCGTCATGGCACTACCAGAAGTTGTGAAGGAAGCTGAGGCGGAAAATGATCTGTGTATGAGGACTAGATCTTTGCGACAGAAATGGCAAGAGTGGAACTGGAGAGATGATGAGGAGATAATCAGGGGGCTCTTGCAGCAATCCAAAGGAGAGCAAAGCAATGGATGTCACAAAATGGAGAAGCTGAATTCTATTTTTGTAAACAGGACTTTAGTTAGATTGAATGGGTTGCATGTGATTTTTGCAATAAGCCACTGGACAAGTGATATTGATTTACTGAACTGGGGAGACTAGAAACTAGTCCAGTAGCAAGAAAGGAAAATGAAAATACTGGTATTAGGTATGTTGCTCAGAAAAGCCTATGAGATCTCTAAGTAGAAATGTCAAGAAGAGTTGGATACATGGGACCTATGTTTCTTTGGGCCTGGCTTACTTCACTTAATATAATTTTTTTCCAAGTCTTTCTATTTCCTAACAAATGGGGCAATGTTATTCTTTCTGATGGAGGCATAGAATTCCATTGTGTATATATAACACATTTCCTTGATCCATTCATCTACTGAGGGGCATCTGGGTTGGTTCCATATGTTATCTATGGTAAATAATGCTGCAATAAACATAGGTCCCATGGTTTCCCTTATTTGCAATAACTAGTATATGTCTGAGACAAGCAGAAATGGTGAGATAAGTTGATGTTAGGTGAAATGAACCCCAAGATAAGCACTCAAATGTTTTTTTTTTTCTTGAGATTGTTTCTAACGTTTTATAATATGATTTCTTTATTGCTTTGTATGTCCTTCCCCCACGGTATAACCCTTGTTTTCACTGTATTTGATGTTGGTATACTTTGTGGAGGGGAAAGGAAAAACCAAATTGTTTAAATAGGGATACAGGCGGACCCATTGGAACAATGAGATGTACAAGATGTTATGTCGAAAAATGAACTGTACAACTTTGGTGCAGGGGGAGGGGGGTAGTGGAGAAGAGGGGAAGGGATGAGAAGGAAGCAAAGAAAATAAAATAAAATAAAGAGTTGGATACACCACGTTGGTGCTCAGGACATGGAATTGGGAATAGAAATTAGAAAGTGATAGCAAAAATATGTAATTTGCAGAGATGAAAACAGACAAGAATGTCTATAATCAGTATTTTAAAAAAGGGTCCAGTTTTGGAATTTAAACAACTTCAGCATTTAGGTGTTCCATGAGAAAATGAGTTTGCAAAGATGGCTCAAGGAGAACCAGGAAGGAAAGAGGGATCTCAAGAGGACTGTGATGTCAGTACAAGGAAAACATGTGTCTTGGGAAGGAAGGAGGGGTCAAATGCACCAAATGCAATAGAGAATGTAAGCTAGGAGGCAGTGGAGGAGCCCCCTGTGTTCAGGTCATGGGAAAGGTGGCTCCAAAATGCTAGAGGAGAAAAAGGTTTGCTGGCTGCTTTGCAATTTCGTGGCTGAGAAGGTGATTTAGAGACAGAATGATGTGTATGTGCATGTGTATGCATATGTGCTTGTGTATATGTTTGTGTGTGTGTATCCATGTGCATGTATGTGTATGTGTGGCTATTCTGCACCTCATTCTAATGTACCATCTGTGTAGGGATCTATGGAGTACTTGTTTAGGGTAGAGATGTAGCTTCATGGTAGTGTTTACCTAGAATGTGTAAGGCTCAAGATTCTACCAATAGTAATAATAATTATTGGATCAAGGTCAGATACACAAGTGCCCTCTTCAGTCTCGGTTACCAGGAAAAAGAAATAAAGAACACTGTAGACTACCTTGTGTTATACCATTGTATATCCTGTTGCTGAGACTTTACCTGATATGTAGCCCTTGCTTAATACATACGCGTTAAAAGAAGTCAAAAGTGTGTTTTTAAAATGTCAAGTTAATTTCCAAGCCACCATATTGATGGATGATTTAAATGTCTATTGCAACTTTTGTTGTTTGGAAATACTAGGGTTTGCTAAGCAGGCACTCTACCACTTGAGACATGCCTCTTGTCTCCCTCCTACCCTTTATTGGTATAGTTATTTTTCATATAGTGTCATCAGCTTTGTGCTCAAGCTGGCCTGGGACTTCATATCTCTCATATATTAGAATAACAGACAGTTTATGTCACACAGATTATTGGTCAAAATGGAGTTCTCATTATCTTTTTGTATCAACTGGCCTCCAATAATAATAATAATAATTTTTCTCTTCATCTCTTGCCTAGCTGAGATTACAGGCATGCACCACTATGTCTATCCATACAAATATATTTTGGTGATAAAAGAAAAATATAAATACCATGTGATTACATTCTGGGTTAGCAGTGCTTGCCTCCAAAACAGCTGTAATGCATACACTGCCTTTGGTAGCACATCAGCTTCTTCTCCAGATTCCTTTTATCCTTCCAACCTCCACATTACTTTAGACCTTATAAAACTGAGATGCTGATATATGTGGCCAAAGTCTAATCCAAACTGAAAAAGTTTGGTGTGAGACAATACCCAGGCTTTCTCTGAATCTGGGACTTTAGGGCTGAACATTAGGACAAATGTTGCTCTGAAGAGTCAGGGTGCCAGCAGGGGGCTAGTGCCTCCTCAACACCAAACATCTGTTTTGATGTCTCTAGCCAACAGGAAAGCCAAGGCTCCCAGATCAAAACTTCACATAAAAGACAAGCTACAAAGCGGAGCTATTGCACTGAGTTGTATGACTTTCACATTCACTTCCAGTAGTTAACATG